TTCCCATGTCTCTAGAGTTATCCATGTGGTCCTATAAATAGAGGTCATTCTTGTAGTCTCATTGTAAGAAAAAAAAAAAAGAAGAAAACATTATTGAGTGTGCTGTAGCAACTCAAAAACTATTAACAAAAATTCAAGTTTTTCTTCAACACTTCGTTTCCGCACTAACAGAAACGTCATCATACTAGGTTGTTTCCCAATAACCATAACGACAGGCGTGCAGTTGATCGAAGTGGAAATATACTCCCCGGTATGCATTTCGACTTGATTCCTGTTAGTTATATTTTTTCATGGTTGACTAATTATTAAAATGCCGTTCCTTTTTCTTATTTCTATGAAATTTTCAGGCACTGTCGTAGATTCTAAAATCTGCCACCCTACCGAGTTCGACTTCTACCTCTGTGGCCACACTAGGATACCTTCTACCTAATTGGAAATTTACATTCTTCTTGATGGACTGCTTATTAGGATCCATTTGACTGCAGGGTACAAGCCGGCCAGCTCATTACCATGTCCTATGGGATGAAAACAAATTCAATGCTGATGCTCTTCAGTCACTTACCAATAACCTTTGCTACACGTAAGTGCTTGTCCTCCATTCTTATGAATTCTTAGCATATGTTTTTTGCTGGATTGGATCAGACAGTACAATAAACTATTCCAAGCTGAATAATACCACCTACCAAACAAGCATATTAAGGTATGATTGCTTATTGGTTTCATTTTCATCTTTTGTAGATATGCGAGGTGCACACGCTTTGTTTCCATTGGTAGGTTTCTTTTCATTGGCTTTCCATAATTTTTTTTTTTTTTTTTCGTGTATAAACAATGCCCCTGCTTGGTACTGAATAAAATTCAGGTTTTAATCTAAGTTAAATTTAACAATTAATTTTAACCACATTTTTCATGGGTTCCACAACTTTTCAACCACACATTTCGTCAACTTTTATAAAATTTTACTGAAAATCTGATTTTAATTCCCACCAAATAATAGGGGCTGTGTATTACTGTTGATCTTATTATTCTTATACTTGACAGTGCCTCCTGCATATTATGCCCATTTGGCTGCTTTTCGTGCACGCTTCTACATGGAGCCGGATACATCGGACAGCGGGTCAATGACAAGTGGGGCTGCTGGTCGAGGTGCTGGTCCAGGGCCAAGGAGTACAAGGTCGGTTGCAGCACATGCTGCTGTTAGACCCCTGCCTCGGCTTAGAGATAATGTGAAGAGGGTCATGTTCTATTGTTAAGCGCGTTCTC